TTTTTCATTTTTAGAGTAGTTTTAGTATTATTGGATCATTTTGTTAGTTTTTAGTGTATATTTGTTCGATATACTAAACAAATTTAGCCTATTCAAAATAATAAAATCAAAAGACAAATTATTTTCTTGATATTTAAGTAGGTTTATCGGGGTTTTCCATAAAAATTTTCAATCTTTATTTTTTTGATTCAGTTTTTATCTTATCTTAATTTATTATTGGCTATGGAACGTCAACAGTATTCAGTCAAATAACAAATAATCGGTCAATTCGTATTACATCGTAAAAGTTACTCGTATTGCGGGTGTTTGTGATTTTAATTTATTAAATAGTGTGTTAAATTATACCCAAAATAAAAAAAAAAAATTATATAATTTTAAAGGACATATTTGGCTATTTTTTAGAGCATATTTGTATGGTTTTAAGTGTATTTAAATCCGGGCCCTACTAATAACATATTTGGTTCAATAACCACATATGTTTCGGATGTTTTCATTTATTGCGCCTAAAATAAAAAAACCAATATAAAGCATTATGTTGATATTATTATGTTTATTCAATTAAATAATTCAAATTTGCTAATTATGTTATGATATGAAATAGATTGCACATCAACCACTATAATAATGCTTCAAAATTTTAAAATTTTACTAACATAAAAGAGAAAAAATGTTTTTTGTGTCTCCTGAAAAATTGGAAATTTAGACGTATCTCGTTATTGAACCGGTGCCTTCAGTTGTAGGGCCCCATTAACGACATTTCAGGAGGAGCCTGAATACACCTGGTACTCCCTGTTTGCACGCCTATGAATACGTTATAATATAAATACTCGCACACAATCGTATTATATACATAATTTATCGTTATGTGTGTTCAGTGTACCTATGGTCAAAAACACTCTACCCTTGTTTACTGTATAGATTTTACATATTATTGTCAATGAGAAAAATCTGTTATAATACGTTTCAATGCATTACTCAAAATTTCATCACCACTATATAAGTTCATCCAGCTTCGTTTTACGAAATATTCTATTACCATTCTTCTCTATTATGTACTATAGGTATACTTACATAAATATACTTACATAATTTCAGACCAAACAAATCGACAACAGATCAAATATTTGTGATTAGGCAGATCCTTCAAAAAATGTGGGAGTTCAATAAAGACGCGTATATATTATTTGGGGACTTCAAGAAAGCCTATGACTCTATCCACAGGGTAAGCTTAATAAATATCCTTAGAGAATTTAAGTTTCCAAAAAGGCATATATGTTGTCACAACCAGTGGAAGTGGTGACAAGCTTAAGACAAGGAGATGCGCTTTCTCCCATACTATTTAACTTAATGCTGAAGAATATGGTAAGAGAAACGTCAAGGGGTTGAGTTAGGTCGATCGACAATTAATATTCTGGCGTATGCGGATGATATTGCTCTATTGAGAAGGAGTAGAGAGAAGATAATAAAAATGGAAAAATCACTTATAAAGGCTGCGGAGGAAGTAGGACTTAAGAGTAATGAAGAAAAAAACAGTGTACATGGTGGTCAGTCGGAGAAATGGGAATCTGGTACAAGAAAAATTCATCAAAGTGGAAGAATACAAATTTAGAAGAGTGGACCAATTCAAATATTTAGGGTCAATTATAACTCAAGATAACGACATAAAAACAAAAATTTCAATGAGATTACAATCAGCTAATAAATGTTTCTTTGGACTTACTAAAATTTTTAGATTAAGAGCAATCTCTAAGAACTTAAAAGTTAGAATGTACTTAAATTTGTTAAGGCCAATTGTCTTGTATGGAGCAGAAACATGGCCCCTGAGAAAGACTGAAGAACGAAGGATGGCAGTGTTTGAGAAAAAATTACTCAGGAAAATTTATGAGGCATACTTTGATGTTCTCACAAATGAATGGAGGAAATTACACAATAATGAACTACAATCCATTTTTAAGTGACCGGATATACTGAAAGAGATAAAAAAAATGAGGCTTGTTTGGGCAGGACATACCTAGAGGAAGCATGACTCATTAATAAGAAGAGTAATAGAGGAAAACCTAGTTGGGAGGAGACCTCTTGGAAGACCCCGTTTAAGATTGAAGGATTGCGTTAAGAGAGACGCTAAAACAGTGGAGCCGGAGAGTCATTGGCAGGAAGTAGTAGAAGACAGAGATAGGTGGCAGCATGTTTATCTAGAGGTATGGTCTTAAATGGTCGAAACCAAGGAAGAAGAAGAAGAAAAAAAAGGTATACTTACATGCTTAATCACTGATCATGACATTTTACATTTTAATCGAACGAATCGCTGTAGATTCAACGAATGTACGTTATTTCCGTGATTTTCGCATATCTTTATCAGTCACGGTTTATCGCATCGCATTTCAACACATCAATTTACGATTTTTGACGTCTCCACTTAATTTGACGTAAATGTACTATGACAGAATCTTAATCTTCACCATCAAGATAATGTCAAATCTAATGAAATGATGACGTTTATATTATAAATATGTATTCGCGCTTGACATTCACGAATTTCAAATGGGTTTTTACATTGATCACAGTTATTTCGCTGTTCACTGTATCTGCGTATTTATATACGGACGACGCCCACTTTCGCTAAAGATTAATTAAAATATTTTCCAAAGTGTCTAATGTATAGAATATATAAATAAGTATTTTCAGTAAAATATTGAACAGAAAATAAAAATCAACCTTCAACTCAACATATCTTATCCATCCATATGTGTTGAGTTAAAGGTTGATTTTTACTTCTATAAATATTTTACCGAAAATAATTGTTTCTTTGTTTTATACGACGGACACTTTTCAAACTATTTTAATTAATCTCTAACAAATGTGGGCGTCACCGTTAGCAACATTTCTCTTCAAGCGTATTTTCATTGTTACAGCCAGGGATTGTTCACTTGCAGCTCGGCACATAATTGAAACCAGGATTCACTCCGAAGTTACTTATTTGCATTTATGTAATACATAACGTGTGCACATTACATGACCCGAGAAAAATAAAAAGAAAGAAATCGCAGGACCGGGATTAAATATTCAAACCAAAAGACCATTGAGTAATGGTCTTGGCGAGGGAATAACACAATGATTATCAGCTGACATTAAGTAATAATTCAGTTTATTAATGAAACGTAATCATTTCATTTCTTATATACAATTCGTTAAAACGCGATAATAAAAAACAACATTTATACAAAAGGACTCGTACCTGTACAACGGTGTATCGTAATGATACCAACAGACTAAAAATATTTATCTTGGACATGAATAGCTAATAATTACAATAATAATTTCAATCGTATATATATATATATATTTATAACCGTTACGTAACAATCGACACGGGGTGTTTTACAAACATTCGAAACAGTAACAATAATAATATTCGTAACGATAGTAGTGCACCCTTGTTTTCGCATTCGGTTGTAAATCATTCGTCTTCGGACTTCGCGTATCCGTGACGGGGTTGTCGGCGGGAGCCCTGAACCGGTTATCGTAGCGGCGTGCGCGAGGTTGGTGAGCAAAGCGAAATTTGGCGTGCGAAATCGCTCGCACGAACGAACGAGTTTTCGGAACGTAGTCACGGGACCATATGCGAACGGTTGAGTGGTGAAATATCGGCACGCGCGTCAAACGATAAGAGGATAATCACTTCTGCGCGTGAGTATCTGGACTAGATTTCTTTTAGTTGTTCGCCAAAATCTCTGCGTTCAAACTTCTCCCACCCTACAATTTACTCGCCCTCCACCTACGGACCCGATAAAAGGTCGAACGAACATAACGAGGGTTAGCCCTTACAAGGGGTTCCGCTAATCAGCCCACCCCGTCGTGGTTCGGAACGCGGTACTAACGATACCGCTGTCGTTCAGGACGTATAAAGTGGACGCACTTTCGCCATGCACCCTGACGTGTACCGTAATCAGTGGCAATCCCAGACGGACTTGGCGGACTGTACCATCAAGTGGGTGCCAACGACATTTGTCGCTAGCCAACGCCGGAAAAGCGGCCGTCTTCGCGAACGATTTCGTACCGCGAGAACGTTTTTCATTTATTTTTATTTTTAGTCGCCACGTAGAAGAAATACGCCCGAAGTCACCTTCCGAAGAGGGGAAAAACAACTTGAAGGTATTCGTCTAGGTTTTCGGCTTGGACTAGTGAGATTCGATTTTATCGAGTTTTAATGTAATGCACAAAAGGGATTTTGAAATTCACGAAGGCGGTAGCATGTGTTGGTCGTTATCCATAATTATTTTCAAAACGGTGTCGTAAAAATCATTCGCAGGCAAACGGTTGAATGCCGTAGAACAAAACACGTGAACATCATTAAAAAAAAAAAAAAAAATTAAAAAAATACGACGCGTTTTACCGGCGCGCGTGGGATTTGATAAATTTTCAAAAAAGTTCAAAACCCTTCGGTCGAAAGTTTTCGCACAATACGGCGTATAGTAATATAACGTAGCCTACCGTGCGATATTCGTGTTTAATAAGTTCGACCGCAAGGGATCGAATCACCCGAGGAAAGTGCAATATTTTTTTTTATATGTGTTTTATTGAATTTTTATTTGTTTTCATTTTCTCTTCGTCAAGATTAACTTTTATTTATCAATACTATTACTTTTATTATTAACTTTTATCTATCGATACCATAAATGTACATAATTATTTTTTAATATCATTTATTCTTTGAATTTCTTTTGTTTTACACGAAATTGGTCATTTTAACCACATTCAATATTGTAAAAGGACTAGCCACGTTCAAATGTAAACAAATATATAATTTAGTCAAAACATTAATATCGCTATATACCGTCCATTTTAATGAATATTCCACATTAAACGATGAACTCTTTTGAACGTGTTTTTTTTCATCGAAAAGATATCTCCTCTTTTACGGCAATCGCTACTTCAGTTCTGTTATTTAACCGCAAAAATTATTTTTTTCGATGACGTTATCCTTTTCTAAATTGTTCTCGTTTTCCAATACGATATTTCTACACGTTTATTTTTCCAAACAAAAATTATCGATACGACTTCGAATCAGATCGAGATGAAAGGTTTTTTTTCAACTTATTCGATACATGCATAATAAGAATCGAGGGATAAATTTTTTGTTTTTGGTTTTTTTTTTATTTACGTTAAACTTTTAACGAAAAGTCTATTTCGTACACCATCCAGGGACCGCACGAACTCGCAAACTTTATTCCGCCTCAATGTTTTTTTCTCTCCGACGCCGCCACTCCGTGAATGTTTTGTTTATCAAAATCGTTTAGCCAAACAATTGTGGAATTGGATTTAAAAAAAAAAAAAATTGAAAACTTTCGATGTAACAGAAAATACAATTCACTTTGGATATTGGTAACTTCCTTCCATCGAGCTTTTTTTCTCTTGCAATCAGCACAACGTAATTTGAGTCACGACGTACCACGAACGCAACAATTTAAAACGATATGGTAAAAATATATAAACGCAATGAGCTACGAGTGGTTTTGAAGAAGATCCAACGGCGGTATGCGTTTAGAAATATTTATACGGTTGTAAGCATGAGATGCGCATTTCATGACGTTCGATCGACTTATTAAGATCTAGAATATTATAAAAATTTGTTTATACGCGTTTATTCGCTAACTAGGAGTAAATCACCGTCGAGCCAAAAAAAAACAAAAAATAAAATCAAAATCAAAATCGTTTACGCTTGAAATCTGTGGCACTGAGATTGCTTCGCATACGTAAAATAAGTAGCACAAAAAACAAAAAACGTGGTACAATCAATTATGCTAACGTTTCGCGCGCGCACGTTCCTTGTAATCGTACGACGGCAGTTATGTTTGCAATGAAAGTCATTTATCGATAGGGTTTTCACTCGTTCGAAGCAGACGGGAAATCCGGATCTCGAAAAATCATTACGTTAAACAACTATGACGACAAGTATTTCAACAACAATTTTTTTTTTTTTTTGGTAACTAGAAGACATATTTTAACGACAAATGGTACATATACATATATAATGAAAAAAGAAACATAAAAACATTACAGTACAATACATATTATTAATAAATAACAAGAATTTGTAACAACCATTAAAATTACTGCTCTCAAATAATTTTGTTTAAACGTAATATCATGTTATAAATGTCATCTAATTATTGTTATACATATTATTACAACGGATTTAACGGGAACGTTAACATGCGAAAAGTGTTATGGAAAAGTGAGTTTGTGTGTGTGTGTGAGAGAGAGAGAGAGAGAGAGAGAGAAATATTTATTTATTTTTATCCTCATTACACGGTTATAATATGTACAGACAGGTCTTAGAAGATAATTGCGTAAGAATGTAAGTTACATATTTATATTTATATTGGTGTGCGTTTCAAAATTATTTCCTCTTCACGTCGAACACAACACGTCAAAGGCTAAAAAATGTCATAAGTAGAACAAGTCACCGCCGCCACCACCACCGCGACCGCTATCGCTTTCGCCGGACGACACGCGCAGTTGGTCGCATATCCTAGTCAGATCATTGGCCAACCGGTCAATTTCTGTGTCGGATGACCGCCGGTGGCCGCGGTTCGAGTGTCAAACATGAAGCTCCTCGATGCCGGTGATCTTGGCGGCCATCGCCGCGGCCGCCGCGTCCATGGCCAGGTTCGCGGAGGACGCGTGGTGCTGCTGCGGCGGCGGTGTCTGAGAAGCACCGGCTGCGGCACCGGTGGCCGGACCGGAGCACGTGCATGCGGGCAGCGCGGACGAAGCGGATGCCGCGTGCCTCCTGACGGTGCCATGCAGGTGCTGCTGGTGTTGATGACCACCGTGGTGATGATGGTGGTGATCGGGTCGTGGGCACTTGGGCGGCGGTGGTGGTCGGGGCAGCGTGGCCGACGACCCGATGCCCACGATACTGCCGCCCGGATGATAGCACTGGGCTGCCACGTCGGCGAACTCCGCGGGTGGTGGTTGCGCCGCCCTCGTACCGGTTGTGCTCAGGTCTACCGGTGGCGTCGCTTTCGGCCCGACTTGAGCCGTGGCCACCGGTGGCGGAGTCTTTTTCAGTATTGAGTGCGGCTGCTGCTGGTGCTGCTGGTGCTGCTGGTTTTGCGGTACAACCCCTACGGAAACAGTGCGCGTCTCCAACATCTGCAGCAGCTCGGTGGCTCCTGAAAAGACAAAATGGTCAGTGGTTCAATGGCCATGGTGGGTACGCGGTGCCGGGGTGTCGTCACGGGTTCGAAGGGATCGCACGAGAGGGCGATGGAAACTCGATATAGCTAGCGGCCGTCTGTCGCTTACCATTGTGTCGGATCAATAGTTTCGGGGCAACAGTCACTTATATTAAACGTTGTCTAAACTCATCAATCGACGCTCACCACTACGATATGATAATCGATCTACAAATGACATACAAATTGGTTACCAGTAGATGGATGGTCAACAGACATGGAATGCAATCGCGCCCGACCGTGGTTAAACATTTCTCTAATATTTGCAAAATAAAACGAAATCAATCAACATTTTTATCAAAAATTAAGGAGCTCAATGACTGATATTATATTATTTTTTTTTTTTTTTTAATTTATCAATAAGAATGATATGCTATAAATGTATTTATGTGGTAAGAGAATGAAGTCCTTCGGTTTTACGTTAAGTGTGTAGTGATATAAACGCATGTTATGTTTAAAAAATTAAAACTTCAGAAATGATTCGATTTTACAGCACAGGTTTTTTGTTGGTTTTTACAATATACCCAAATCGGTGGAAAAATTTTTCTGTTGTGTACAAGAAAGTTGCAACTGCTATGGATTTTTTCACACCGTAAAAACAATTTTTACATTTAACTCAAAAAATCAATTCTCTAACAATAAGTAAAATTTAATGGAAAATCAATTTATCTTAAAATTTAACAATTTATAACAGTAAATAATTAATTAATAATTAATTTACATCACAAGTGCTTAATTTTTCGGCAAACATTATTTATTTACTAATACTGCATTATGTAGCATAACCGCGCATAATATACGACTGTCATTGCATAATATCATATGATGCTTTTTGTTTTTATGGAAGTATTCGTGTATAACTCGGTCTAGCAAAAATCAATTATGAATCGTATTCATTCAGTATAGTGCTCGCAGTATAGTGCACGTGTAATGAATTACACGGGTACACGTGTTCTTATGTGAAACGGGATTAAGGTCCATGTAAATAAAATACATGTGTATTTGTAAATACCCGTTCACCCGCATTACCCGTGTAGCTAAATACCCGTCATTATCCGTGTATCTTAATACTCGACATTAAGTTTGATTCACACTAGTCAGCCACATACAATCAGACACCGTACCGTACCGTTCCGGAAAATATTTTAATATTTGTTTAAATACAGCAATTCACATTTAAACGTTCATACACGTAGCGAACCAACAGAGTCCGGCAGAGTCCAACAGAGTTCGGCATTCCGAGCGGGAATGTTTTGTCGGGACGGCACGTGTCTGATCCGGTCTGAACAGGTCTGTATGATAAGCGTGAATGAAAAACAGACATACTCGTAATATTATAATATCCGTCTGCTGTCATTCACTGGAAAATTATTCGCAGTCACAAATTTTTGAAGTTCGTACATATTATATAAACTTCTCATTTTTATCACTTTTTATATTTTTCACGCGTGATGAATTTAGAATTATTAATTGAATTCGTTAGAGACCAAGAATGTTTTTATGCATTGTCACAAAAATTTTAAACATATTTCAAACTTAAAATATAAAAAAAAAGAGGAAAAGAGGGAAACTTGTGTAGTCACTTTACGATGTTGTAGCGAAAATGTAGGTATGGGAACAATAATAAGTATAGTATATTTGAACGGCATGGTACGGTGTCTGTCGGTAAGTGTCTAACTAGTGTGAATCATACTTTACTCGTGTATTTTATTCTCCATGTTTTTGTATTGTAATAATTGAGATTTCTCTATTATTAAATACTAAATTTCTAGATTTCGAACTAAAACTAACGCTAACACGAACAAATTTAATTTCCAACAATAAATTGTATGGTGGTATTTACAGATAAGATATCGATGATAATCGAGATTATCTACGAGTTTATCACCAAACAATATTCACAGTTGCAGAAAAACCCATGGCCCGAGAAAACTGCGGACGCAACTCGGATATGCCGTGACAAAACCGCGGACGCAACTCGGATGTGTCGGAGCGATGGCATATATAGAAAACATTTTATAAAAATTATGATAGAATAAGTCAACATAATTATAATAATTATAATAATTATAAGTAGGTATAATAAAGCATTCAAGTTAAAATCATTTTTATAGAGTGAAATATTCACTAAGAAAAGACTGCCGATTTCTGTGAAAGCCAAACAAGATTCATACCAATATTTGAATAATTATATAATATACCTTTAATAACTAAACAGGTGTCTGATATTTACATACAAGCTGGTATTAAATACACGGATGACGGGTATTACAGTAAAAAATAACCGTGTATTAAAAACACGGATATTAATAAATTTAATACACGTGTACACGTAACGCGGGTACACGTGTACTCTAATAAGATATGACCCCTAATTCAGTGCATACTAATATATAAGATGACTGAAGACGACTGATCAGGAGCTTTTGACGATGCTGTTTTAAATAAAACTTTCAGAATTTTTTTACTATTCCAAACCGGTTCTCGGCTGGTGATTGCGTAAATCATGTCTTTATGGATCACAAAATATAGACGTGCCAATAGTGTATAGTCGACCAATATGTAATAATATCGCAGAGGCCCGTGAGTTGCAGCAGTTAGGCCACCGAAGGCGAACTAGATCTGATACAAGTAATATCGTTGAGTCGTTTTTTTTTTTTTTTGTATCCTTTTCTCAGATTCTTTTTCGTATAGTAGAATTCATTTTCCGAAAAAAAAAATCGGTTTACGTAATCAAAATATACTTCAACGAAATCCGCTGGCGAAGCGAGGCGAAAAAGTCTCCCTCCGTCGTTTCAATCACTATTTTTCCGGAAAATAATAATATAAATTATCCGCGGACTTACACGAGATATTTATTTTATTTGTGGTGCACCGGAACGGTAAATGTCAAACGATGGGCTCTATGATCACCCGGCGAATCGAACCACGGAGTTCGATTTACGCGGTGTTTCTGAAAGCCAATTAAATTACAACAGGTGTAAAAACAAACGGCTAAACAGTTGCAGCCACAACAAACTCATTTGGAAAACGTAAAACGTTAACAGAGAAAACATTATTTCACGCATCTCATAAGCCGTTCAGTACTATCGTAAGTTTCTGCGTGGGATTATTTAAGTTTGATATTCACACGGCGTGCACCGTTGCCCGATTGAACACGTTCAACTATCGTCCACGACGATTAAAAATGATTTTTCATCTCGTGCGATTTATAATAGGTGGATACAGTTGATAAGTTGAAACAGTTCGTTGTTCACGGTCGACCCAAATAATACAGACGCAGTGTATATTCCGTCCGTGAAATTTGATACGTTTAAATATGCAAATTTATGCAGATTCGATGGCAATTAATAATACTACACATGGCGTTGTCCTGTTCGAAAGTTTTATCATGTGTTTACATCCGTAACGGAACATACGTTTTTTATGAATACAAACCGGTTGTATTTTTGACCTATATTTTTACTGCAATAACGATTTAGATCGCAACAGAATTGAAACTAACAGCTGAAAATTAATAACAATTTGCTAATGATACATAATTTTGGATGAAATAATGAGATTGTTATCTCAAATATATGTATTGATTTTTTTAGGCCTCGTCATTATTTGGTTATTTCTTTTGGAAAAAATAATTCTGTGCAAGTACAGGTCATAGAAGTGAAACAGCAGTCGTGGTGATATCAAATTATTAATGCACAATCTACAGTTACTGTCGTAGGGATTTCATTTTTATTATTTGTCTTTGCAGGGAATTATTTAGTAATCAAAATGAGAAGATCTATAAAGGGAGGGAAATAGAGCTGGATTTAGACTTTTGGATGCCCTGGGAAAATCGATTTTTCGAGACTCCTAGCATTAAAAAACTAACATTATCCTTGTAGTAAAGGAAAAATTAAAAATTTGTATACTTAACCGTTAAAATTATCTGCCTATACTTTTTTATTTCAAGTTTAAAATACCAATGTTCGTGCTTCAAAAATCACGAATTTCTGTATGTATAATAATATCACAGGTTAATTAAATGTAATATACAGTAAATACTAAATAGTTAGTAACTGTAAATAATAAAAAAATAAATACATTTTTATAAATATGGTAATTTTAGAAGTAATAAGTCTGACTTAAAAAAATTAGATATACATTTGGTTTTTTAATGTCACGCGCATGCGTGTGTATAGGTATAAAATAAAGGTACGTGACGTAGGCCGCGCGCTGACGGCAGCCTACGTTACTATCAGTGTCTGCGTTTGCTATCTCCTACAAAATGACGCGCATGCGCGTGTATTAGTATAAAACGTGACGAATTTTCGTTGTATTCCTGTGTGTCGTGACATTGAAAATTTACTCCCAGCGCACATACAATAGTTTCACTTCAAAAAATATTTTGTCTTTATCATGTAACACAATAAATAATTAATGTTAAATTTTTATGCGATTAAAACGTCGCTTAAGTATACATTTGTCTATCCTAATTCAATATAATTGTAGTAGCAATTATACATTTATAATATATCCTTCATTCAAAGGATCTAAGGAAAAATAATTGAAAAATTCAAATCGTTTTATTCCGTAACACAATAAACAATGTATCTGTGGTATATCACAAAACACGAAATAATAAATTATTTTCGAATTGAATAAAAACTTTTTCTGAACGGACGTTTAACATTATTTCTTTGGGCTAAGTTTTTTTTCGATATCGAAAATATTACTGTTTGAAGAAAAAATATTCAAAGTATCATCTGCGTTCAACTTTTATCTGAAAATTTATCGCACCAAACTGCTCAGGATAGTGTTTAAAGGAAAAATTAATAAATATATAATCTCGATGTAAAGCCACAGTGTATTTGTCGCATCATTCCGAACCGTTACGGTTATGATGACGTTTCTGAACGCACTAGCGTACCATTTCAATGTACACATTATTACACCAT